CTATGGTCAGTGGATCTTAGAAGTCAGACACTTCCAAGCAACTTATCTTTCTGCCACAGGTTTCACACCTATAAGAGGATAGTGTACAATACCCATATTACAGGCTCCAGGTGAGGCTTGTTTACTAAGGCCATGTCTGCACTGTAAATTTACCATGCCAGGCAGCGCATGAAGCACTGCTTTCTACTCTGAGGCAATGGGTTCGACCTGTGCGGCATACTTCAGGGTACCACTGCTGGGCACGGCAAGTTTATCACTTAGACCTGGTAGTAATTGCTTATAGCCCTTCCACCATTCAAATCAATCAAAGTTATTTCTGCCATCAGCATGTCACTGAGTGTTGTAGGCCTCCAGCTTACTCTTTGTGCCTTCTTAGGATACCACATCTTTCCAGTGCAAGCATCTATTTGATCTGTCATTGCTACAGTGTCTTGCTGAGTACAATGGCCATAAACATTACTGTACTCCACCTCACTTGTGAAGAACCCTGCAGTTGATTCTTGCGCTTATTTGCAGACAACTGCTTGACAAACTTTTACTTCTATAATTGCTGCATTTGTGTACAAAGCCCATTAGTGCCAGCCCTTGATTAAAATTGCTGAGGTAAACAATGACCTTTTTAAGGCTCTGGTTGCTACTATACTCAAACATCCTGAACATGTAGTCAGTATCCCCTGCTGAAAGCCAATTAGTGAAACAAAAGCCAGAACTATGGCATTTATTCTCTTCTCATCCTCAAGTCAATGACAGAATTCTTGAGGCAGCGCCTGAACAATGACATAACATTGGAGTTAACAAACTGTGCTTTATCTGGATCTCAGACCTGTGATCCAAGCAAGGTAAAAAATAGCTGTTATTTAATAACACACTTGTGACTGTATGAGCTGAAGTTCTTTCTCCCTCCCCCACCCACCAAGAAAACTCGAAGTTCTGTAGAATAGCCAAAGCTCTAAGAATTTTAAATAATAGCTGTAATACTCCCAACAAAATTAGAGCACCCAGATTAGGAAGACATGGGAGAAGAAACATAGATGACTTATAGAAATCAAACAGCAGGGAAAAAGCTGCTAAATTTAGGGAAACGTATCAAATTAGTGTATCTTATTAATTATGGATCATCAAAATGATAACTAATCATATCAGTGCCTTTATTAATTCAGAGGATGATGTATTCTTTATAGGAGTGAAGAAGAGCGCTCTAACACAGTTTTGGCTCAACCTTCTGGCCCTGTACATTCCCAGATCTGGCTGAGCTAGCATACAGGGCCACATTATCTACCCCACAGATCTGGAAATTTGGGAGCAGGGGAGGTCAATTAACACTGCTGCTAAACTTCCAGGCCTGTGGGGAGCCCTGCAGGCTGGATCTGGCGTGTGGGCTGTAAGTTAAGCACCACTGGTCTAACAGATCATCACTTGTAACATTTACTTGGGTTGATTATAAAACTGAGCTGAGTCTTCCAGAAATACTATGTAATACGACTATCATGAATGTAAGCAATATGAATCAAGAGAATGAGCAGTTGGAGACTGACAGCAGACATTCCTGCAATGCTAGTAAATCTTCCTTTTAAAAGAGCATTAATGTTGGGAGGTCAGAATAATTCCAGTATTCTTGAATGATTTGATACAAGGAGGATCTTCTCATTAGTAAATCCAGATCCAGTTTCCTGGCAGCTCAACTTTCCATGGCACTGATCTCACATTGAGTGCCCACTAATTACAGAGCCTCAATAGGATGCTATGAATTGACACCATAAATTGTAACTAGTGGGAACAGAATTTTGAGTTACAGAATAATTTCTTCAATTCTGTTGGGCAACTACCTGTATCTAAGAGAGAACCATAAAATTGATCTGCAGCTATTTCTAACAATATTTATTCAAATAAAAAACATATCAGAACACAAAAATGAAGGAAGATTTGGTTTAGGGAGTCAGAGACCACCTGGAGGGGAGTGGCAACATACACAGCTTCTCGGACTTCTCTGTTTCCAAGTGCCTAGTGGCTTTTCCTTTCTCTACCCCCCACTCCCTCCTACAACCAATATGCTCTTGAAAGAGTGATCGCTTTAGGTATGCAAAAAAGCCTTCCAGACTCTTTCTTTTCACTAATTCATATTAGAGGAATACAATCTTTCCTCTTCAAGTGCGGTCTTAGTCAGTTGCTTTAAGTAATTGCAGTACTGAATATGCCTTTTTTAAATAACTTTGCTTTGTTTCATGAATAAGCAGTTGATTGCATGAGGGAGCTCTAAGATGAGTGTAAGACAGGAACTATTGCTTTTTTATCAATCATTAAAACTTAAAATAGGATAGTGTCAGCCAGTAGACAGTCTGCTTCAAGAGCAAAGAACTGATAAAAATCTTGGAACAATCAAGATGATGGAGAGAACCCAGGGGGTGGAATTCTTGTATTGCTGCCACTTCGCTGTACAGGAATGGATTGAATGGTTCCCACAGAATATTCCCAGTGCAGGCAGGCTTTTCAGATCTTCACCCTGCCTACAGAGGAGTCTTAGTATTTGGGAGACTGCTCTATGGTAGACAGGGGGACAAGGATTCCCCAGCTGTGATGAGGGCAAGGGCACCATGGCAACACCACAATCAAAGATGCACAAACCACATTCTCTCAATTCCCATGCCAGGCTCTGCGCCAACATAATAATCAATTTGGTTTACTTATAATTTTTATCCCTGCATATGCTTAGGATTAAGACACCTCTTACTGGAGCAACCACATAAGCCTCTGGAAAGGAAGTTGTATAAATACATTTATCTGAGTGATCAAACACTTTAGCCACTTCTTCTAGGCTCCAAAAAGAAAAACACAGGGTTTTTTTTTTACTTATTTGTGGAGGAAACCTTTCAGGGTGCATTCTCTCTCTCTCTCACACACACTAACATTCAAATTATAATAGCTTTTATTTTGGTTCTTTTTTCTTTTCTTTTTAGCATTATAAATCTGGGTCTTGTCAAGACAGGAAGAAAACTGAAAAACTATTGCAATGTCACAGAAACAGGAACCAAAAGAGCAAGTTAAGAAAATGAGATTTTTAGTTAGACTGTCCAATGCTTTAAGAGCGTCTGGTGGTAGACCAAAGGTGGTCAACCCCCAGCCTACATGTCAGATGCAGTCCCTGGTGCCATATACACTGGCCTACAGGACTCCCCATGGATTCTGTGGGGAGCCTTCTGGACCATGAACCTGCGCACTAGATCAGGCACACAAAGCAGTGAGTCGGTGCAGGGCCCCTGGAGCCCAATCCCACCTGGGCAGGGGTGGTGCAAAGCCCCATAGCCCTTCTGCTTGACCCTTATGTACTTGGATTGGGTCCCAGGGATGTGCAACCACCCCAACCCTCCACCTGGCTGGGATCAGGCTCTAGCTAGGTGGAGGTCACATGGGGCTTGATTTAGCCTGTAGACTAGCCCTGTGCCATTCATCTGGCTGATGGAGCCAAAACTATGAGCACCATTGGTGTAGGCTAATATCCAGCCCTTTGGTGACAGAATTAGAGCTTACGTTACCCTATGTTTGAGAGGTTTCTAACTGGCCTTCAACAAAACTGCCTTGAAAAGAAAAGTATACCCTGTACAGCATCCTGCAAGACACCCTTTGTGGTGTCTTGTGGTGTGTTATAGTATCAGTAGTTTAAAATCATACATTTTTAATCATATTTTAACAAGCAAGAAACCCTGATTTAAAACATATTTTACTCTTACTGGGCACACCTACACTAGATGCTTCAAGCACAGTAGACTAATTCTATTGTGCATTAGCACAGAGAGCAAAACCTGTGCAAATGAGCAGTAGAATTAAGTCTACTGTGCACAAGCATCACCTAAAACATGTGCACCTGTTATTACGGGTACTAAACGCGCAGTAACCACTGTGCATTAATACACATGTAGATGTGTCCACTGTGCACATAACTGAGGAAAACTTAAAAGGATGATATTATCCCAATCTGTGAGAATTATTCCCCCCCCAAGCCAGGAGAACAAGCTAAATATGCATATATTTAGTCTTTAATTTTTTTCTCTCAATTGGGTTAGGAAATGGCAAGTAATTATCTTACAAGGGAAAGGATTATTTTTATTTGCAACTTTTGTGTTGAGATGGAAATTAAATTTTAAATATTAAAATAATTACACATTTATTAAAACGACCTCAATGCATTGGACACAAGAAAAACCTTATCAAAACATGTTTTACATTTAAAACTGATGTGGTAAAGAGGAACCATTAGCTGCAGCCTGTGAACTGAACTGGTTGTCTCTTGTCACCAAGTTCTTTACTGTTTTGAAGTAGCTTTAATCCTCACATCTAGTTTTTATTTATATATGGAAAGGGAAAACAAGTTTCCTGCTTTAACTTTGAGAAAAGCAGTCACAGAATTTATATTTGTTAAACAAACTGAAAAGAAAATGTTCTATACATACCTGCAGAAGGAACCACTGCCATAAAAAGAAAACCCAACAACACTAGTTAAGCACCTCAGCAAACTTTACTTAGCCAGCAACTTCAAAGATCTGACATACTTTAAAGTTTAGGTGCCAAATGTACTGTTTGAGGCTATGACAACCAATATTAAAAGGCCAAAGAGGTTTATTAAAAAAAAAAAAAAGTTTAAGTCTGATTTTAAAATCGGCACTTTCACCAGCCTACCCACTCCCAAAGGAAAATTTTGGAATCCTTAAATGCAAAGGCATTCCTCCTGGGAAGTGTAAAATTAAACATTTGCATCAGGTGTGGGCACAAAACCTGGGTAGCTCAGAGCCCCAAGCACACTTGAGAATCACCTTGATTTTCCCCTTTGTTTTGCTGTGCTTCAGAAGTTGTTTTTCTAGCATAAAGCAATATGCTATGCAGCAGAAGGACTGTTATGCTTCAGTCTATGTACTCTTTCCAATATCTGTTCTGTGAGTGGGAACTTACATTATTTATTCTGTAAAGGGGTGCTATGTTTGTACAGGAAATTCACTACTCACACAAGATTTAACTAAAGGATATTTATTTCATTCTCTACTAAGACTCGCTCTCAAGGATGTAACCAATAATGCTGGAAACGCCAGAGAAGGGCACATACAGTCAATGTGTGAAGCAGGTATCAACAGCCCTAGAGGTTTAAACAAAGTAGGATCATTAGCTAACCAGAGAGTAACTAAGTGAAATCTCTGCTAAAGGTGTCACACTTCTTTCTTCATTTACACTGAGAAAAGGTCTCAAACTGAAGAAAACCCTTGAATCTCTAACGATGTATTCAGTCCTGCCTAGAGTTTTAACAAGATGGCAACAGGATGACTATAATACAAAACTCCCATTACTACGCTGTACACACCTGTTGTCCAAACCCCCCACCCCAAACCCTGCAACAAAGGCACCCCATTATTTGCTGGCTTGTTGGGCCTGCCTGCGGAGGAGGACGTAGATCTTCTCCTTTATCCAGTCTTTATTGTAGGGTTGATATGTCTGAGTGTCAGCGCGGTACCTAGGGAGAAGAAAAAAAGTGAATCCAATATTGGTTTGACCTTCTATATTACAATTCATCATGGCCTTAATGAGTCTGCAAGACACTATAAAATCAGGCATGATTTTTACTGAGGTAACCAAAGCCAGATTATGGTATTTTAGCACTGGGAGCAGAGTATATCCCTTAACAAGCAAAGCAACACTAGGGTCAAGGCACTCGGCCCATTAGCAGGAATCTAGAATAGAAGCCAAGTGTTCCAAAAGCTTAAGTCCCATTCTCTCTTTACACTTGAAATGAAATTACTCTCTCCATACCCACAGTAACGGAAAGTGAACGAACAAAGCATTTAGAAAATGTCTGAACGCTTAAAAATTAATAAGCTTAATCATGATTTTTGTTAAGTTAAAAAGAACCTGATGTCTTACTTTTGTTTGAAGTTAAGTCTTAGTGGGCCAAGCACTAATTTTTAAAGTATTTTAAGCGAGTATTTTTAATTTAAGCTTACAGATATATTCTACTGTGCTTTAAAAAAAAAAAAAAGAAGGTATTTTTACAAAGGGTTCTTCCATCCACTTCTGAAATGTATAGTTTGTGTTTTCCCCGACTTTCCTTAACAAGGAATCAAAGCCAAAATAGGGAAGCAGCTTCAGTAAGGATAGATGGCAAATAAGTCTGAATTCAAGTCCCAAAAATAAGCACTCAACAAAAAATAAAATGGACTATAAACTAAGACCCCCCCCCACCATGTCTCCCTCCCCTTCCCAAATTCATGCTCTCTATATTAATCTGAGCTTAAAAATATTTCTCTAGGCTCACTTACTGTATAAAGTAACCAAGAAATTGTCATTTGCCAGAAGGCTCTCTTGACAGAAACACAACCAAATATTTAGACACCAAGTCTAGTTCTCTTGCCATTTTTATTTCTAGCAAAAGCAATTCAGTAAGATGATATGCCAAGTTAGCCAGCTGTGAACAGATAGTCCTAAAATGTGTCCCCTTTATAAACAGCTTTAATCTAAAGTTGAAACACATAGTGCCTGCTATAGACACCCCAAAAGAATGAAGAGAATATTTCTGTATGTTCATTCCAACCAATGTGACAAAAGCCAGTGATCCTTAGCACTAAACCTTAAATAACACTAATTAAGCTTAAAAATGTAAGCTAACTCAAAATCCAAAGCATTTTAGGGGTTTTTCAGAACAAGCAGAAGACAATCAATCTGCTTAAAAAAAGCAGCTTATTTAAAACCTAGCAAGTGTTTCAGTATTATCTATGTAATTGAAATAAAGATACATTCAAGATAGGGCTGGGCTTTTATCAATTTCCAGAGTACAAAGAATTTATCTCTGGGAGTTAGTAATTAAGCTACGATACAAAACCAGATATGAGGCATCTTAGGGAGCTGCACAGCTATAAAACATGGACAGCACATTACACACTTTGTGTGCCATCTGGTGGGGAAACTACAAGTTAAAACAGAACTTGGCGCAGATATACACTTTGGCTGTATGGGGTCTAAGCTCTTGATTAAAAAACACTACACTGTAAAGGAGAACAGTGACTTCCTCTTAAAACATGAAATTATCCTCAATCTGTCAGAGGGGAAAATAAAACCTGGCATGGCTTGTTAACTTTACTTCAGTCCAATGCTGATTTATGTCTGGGGTTAAGTAAGGGGGAGAGACAGAGACAGACAGCACACCTGAGGACATGATAAATCTATAGAAACTATAATACTAAGTTATACTTTCATGAGTACATTAGAATTCCATGTATAACTCAGTCTAAAGAGATAAGGAAGTCAAAGTAGGTAGATGCTGTTGGTTTCCTGTTTGATATTAGTAGGCAGCCCTAGTCAGTCCTCACTCTATGAAAAACTTCTTATAACAGCTTTTCTGCTGCTAGACCAGTTTGTATAGAAAAGCTGCAGATTTCAACACACATCACACCCTGTAGCTTCCTGTGGATAGCATAGCAGGAGTCCACTATTTTGACAGTTGTTACACGTAACTTCTAGTGTTTATTTTAAAAATGCGCTGACATCCATCTCTGCTGAAGCAACAAAAAAAAGTTACAAGTTTCATCTAGCTGTATACTTAGACAAGACAAAACCATTACCTGTATATGTATGTCGAGACCATTAGGACCTGTTAAGTGGTAGGAATAAAAATGTTCTCATATAGAACAGTAAGGGAAACTAGTTTCTTTTAACCCCCTATTCAGGACCAGGAAGCCCTTACATAGTGTACAGTATCATTGTTGGCTGCCCTCATCCTTAACACATGAAAATCCTAAAGATGATAGGCGAGATTTTAAAAAATACCCAACCAATTTAGGACAACTTCCAGTGAAATCTTCAGTATCATAAACCATTAGCCTAATCTGTAATGCTTCATCTTGATCCAAAGAAACGGCTGTAACAACCTCAACTTAAAAAAAATAAATAAAAAATCAGGTGCAACCTGTAGGTTCCCGCTGTGTTGACAATAATATTCCTCAGTTCAGTAAAATATACCAGTGCTGTGGATTCCTGAAAATCAAACTATGCTGAATAAGCTTTTTAAATACTTCAGCTCTCCAACACAGACACAGCTTTCTTGCAATTTTTCATTTAAGTAACTCATGGATTGATCCTAACTAGTTTAAGTTAATCTGCAATTAATATTTAACCATTTGAGTATAAGAATTTGAAACGTTATAACCCTTTGTTTAAAAATCTTAAGGGATGTTGACACTAAGTTGCATGTGTTTACTCTTTTCAGACAAATGCTTTGTTCCAATGTAATCCATACTAGAAACTGTTAGTTTTAGGCTGCCCTGTTAGCAGTTGCTGAAAGGCTCAACAGAATGACATCAGAGACTTTACATGGAAGCTTCATAAATCTTTGACCAACATCAGACAGCACTAAGAACAGAAGATGCAATCAAAAGCAATAGGAAAAAAATATTGGAAACGTACATTTTGTATACAAACTTGCAATTAATTTCTTGTTACTTTTCAGTCTCCCACTTTACCAATACTGGGAGAAAAACAATATCACTACTGCCAAAGCAAAATAGGTGACTGAAGAACTACCATCCATATAAAAGGACTGTACTTACACAAGACAGCTGAGGTCTGCCAGATCATCAATGAAGTCAAACAATTGGCTGATGTCATATGTAATAGATGGGCTGTTGGGATTCATTCTCTTCAGATGCTCTTCATACATTTTACAGACCCCTAAAGAGATGTGAAAATCCTCAGCATCACTGATAAAGATATTAATAGATCTTTAGCTTTCCACAAAAATCTTTCAGGTATTGAAGTTACAAGCAGCAATGAAGTAGAGGGGCAGACTTGGAACAAAAATGTGTAGCTGCAATAGAATGAGATGTGTTACTGTTTATTCAGCTGCAGTGTGCTTCGGTATTAGCGCTTGTTCTATCTATGCACACAATACACGGGTATATGAAATGCGTCATCTTATTTTTACATATTATTTAGGCATCACACCTCAAGGACGCACTGGTGAATAGTTGAGAACTAACTTATGATCTAGACTGAAAAGCCTAATTCTGTAAAACTATACAGTAAATCTATAAATTCTAGTCACTAACTAGTTTAAAAAAAAGCCCCAAACCAAAAAAATAAACTTGGCTCTAAAGCAGCAATTAGCTGACAAAGCCCAGGCAGAGTTGTACACATGCCTTATGTTAAAGTATCAGGCAGTATATGCTGTCACATGGAGCTATTGATTTCTGAGGAGAGAAGTCACTCTTTGCCAAATGTAAAGAGATCAGATATAAAAAAGAGCTGAAAATGTGGTGATCCCACCTTGTAAAACAATGAACTATTAACTTCAGAATAATTTTTAGAGTGCCTCTAAGCAACAAAGAAAACTTGGAAGAAAAAGCTTTACTGTTTCTCTTTTGGGGTAAAGAATTGCCGTATCAGGAAAAACTTATGAAAATTTTTATTATATAAAAAGCCCTTTATTAGGCAGCATATGAATGTATATGATGTGACACTTGCTTAAAAGTTAACTTAGTTGGCTACAGCTTAGGAGATTGTAAATAATAGCCAGGGAGCCTGGTTTTCCCTGATTAAAAAAAAAAATAAAAAAACCCACAAGTTCTCTGATAAAACCTCCCAAATCCGTGAATAAAATTAAAGACTCCCTACAACAACCACCCCGCACCCCGGCCCTGCTTGTGTCTCTTGCCCCTCCCCCCAGCCCTGCCAGAGGGGGCCCCCAGCTGCCAAGGCTACGGGGCCAGGGACCCAGGTCCACAGCCTCCTGCCTGACAGAAGGCAGCTGCTGCAGCAGGACAGAGCTGGCTCCCCCCTGCTGCAGGCTTGGGCAGGGCTGGCTCCTGGGGGCAGTGCAGACTCCCAGGGGGCAGGGGAGACCCGCACCCACCAGATCTGTGTGGAAAGAGGTAGGGGCGGGGTGGGTTCATGCTGCGAGCTCGTGTTCCCCACTCTGCTGCCCTCCCTTGGGACCTCTGCAGCACAGTGTGTGCGACCTGGCGTGGCAGGGCACTGCGGGAAAAGCTGCCTGCCCCTGTGCGCTTTGCATTGCCCTGGAGACACTACCCTTACACGTGCAGGCAGCAGTACGGGGTTGTGCTCCTCACTGCTGCCCCTGTGTGCAGGGGTAATGGGTAGACTGCGGCTGGACCCGGAGCAGTGGGGAGAGGGGTGGAGCAGGGCTGGACCTAGGGAGTGGGGGAAAGGGGGCCAGACCAAGAGTGGCAGGAAGGGGGACACGGGCAATTTGCTAATGTGTATATATACATCAGTTGAACACAATGTTTTATTGATATATTTACAAATTTAAAGCAATTTGGAAGCCTACCAGTGCCTCAATCATTATAATAAAATAAATTCTAAATACCTATATATTTTGGCATTTGATTTTGGTTAAGTTATCATATAAAAATCGGAGCTCCTTCTGCCCTCTTTGCTCCCCAGGGCGCGGGTCTACCTGCAGCTGTCCCCGCCAACTGATTTTTGGATCTGAGCAGCCCTGATATGCCAGTGCCCCTCACTCCCAAGCCACAGTCCGCCCCAGCCCTGCTGGTGCTCCTCACTCCCAACCCCCAGTCCTGTACTTGCCAGTGACCCCCACTCCCAACCCACAGACCCCCACTCCCAGGTCCCAGTCCCACAGTGTGTGGAGCAGGGGAGGTGCCTGACCATAGGTGACACATCGGGGGGAAAGGGGCCCACAGAGGGACGTGTGACCCTCCCTTCTCCCCCTCAGACTTTTGTGCCCAGTGGGCACGGGGCTGCAGCCTAGGCAGACTGGCACAGGTAGGACCTGGCATGGGAGTGCAGTGGGGTGGCAAGACATGTTGCTACCACTGCCAGGAGCAATGGACTGGGAGGGGAGATGGACAGGACAGACATACTGCCTTCATTCCTTTCAGTCAGCCTCTCACACTGCCATTGCCCAGCCGCCACCACTCCCCTCAGGCCCCCTGTGCTGCCCCTCTCCCCACTCCCTCAGGTACAGCCACAGCCTGAGTTGAATAGCAGCAGCAGCTGGGCCATGACAGTAATGTAGAGCTGTGGCCAGGCAGACAAGCAGCTGTTAGCAGAAGGAGGTTAGGGCAACAGAGCATGCGTGCGCGCGCCCGCCCCACCCCCATTTACTCTTTGCACTGCTGATGGTGCAGCTGGCACTTTGATCCTGGCAGTGGCAGCAGCAAGTCTTGCCATCCTGCTCTCCCCTCCCCATGCTGGGTCCCACCTGCTGGGCTGCAGAACTGGCTCCTCCCCATACCGTTCCAGCCAGGCTGCAGCCCTGTCCCCACTGTGGGTGCACAAATATTGGGGGAGGGGGCGGGGGGACGGGACGGGCGCACGCATGGGGAGCTGCTCCCCCATGCTGCCTGGCTGCCATATGCATGTGTGCACACTCACATGACACTCCCTGTGATTGCCTTCCTCCTGCCCAGCCCTTCCCACCATCAGGCTGGAACTCTGTAGTCTGCAAGTGGAAACCCACAGTTTCCTGTGTTTTACTCTTTTAAAGGAGAAAATCCGTGTTTTTCTACAGCAAACATGGATCCCTGGTGATCAGGATGTTCAGCACTTCTCAAAGGCCATCAATACATTCACATCAATTCATATCCATTTATAAGAAATATTTCCTTCCCCTTATCACAGCTGCAAACTTTTGCGGTATGAGTGTGTAAGTTGAACTAGGTTCTTTCTGGATCATCCATTACATAAACAAAGGAGCTGCAGCTGAGCCTTATTTAGTTGCTAATATAAAGGGCAAAAATATCTACATTATAGTTTTCAGCAGTATTTACTTTGCAGGGCTAATGGAAATAAGTAGTTCTTTACAAAATTAGGCCCTGATTCTGCATTGAAATGTTATTCTACCCTGGCACGGCACTGCTCTCATTGCAGGACTTGGGAATATAATGAAATCAAAATAGGACCCTGACTAAACAGAAGCAGCAAATGTAGTTTGGAGCCGTTTTAACATAAATTTTGCTTGAACTGAATGTGATCCTTGTAATGAACTTTCCATTCTTGTAATGTTATTTCTATATGTTTTTTGCATTAAAAATGCATTTTTGCTCATTCTTTCAGTTAGTGAGTTTAGAAAATACATGGAAACAACTTTCCTTAACAAGAAAGGAGATCTGCAATAAAAATGCTTTAGCTTAAGTAACGACACCTACCTTCCATGCACTCATTCACCGATTCATAATCAGCATATGTTCTGCCTTCTGGCCTCTTGGTAGGCTGAACAAGCAGAATTGTGTGAGACTGCACAAAAACAGGAAAACATTGACTCAGAATTTTAAAAAATCATAAATACTTGAGCAAATCACTAATCTTAATCACAAAAAGACTAAACTAAACTTTCAGCTGACCATTCACACATAACAGAAGACAACCAAAAAATCCTATTTCTGTGTTTCTTGTTATTACTACTATTATCCAAAGAATAATTATGGCTTGGGCTTAAAACAGCCTTGCATTTCTTTCTGAAAAATCCCAGAAAGCCATTACAATACTGAAAACACATTTCACATTGTAGCAAAGAATTAGAAACTGGAAAGCAAAAAGATCTGCTAGGTGGCACCACTGTATTTCATGTACCTCCTGCTAACCAGCAATTAGCTATTTCCAATCTCAGTCGCATTAATTGACAAATTTATAGTCAATTATATGCATTACTCCCAGAAAGCAATTTTGTTTTCCTTGCACACTCAAACAACCTAGTGTGTTCAAGAAACAGTAAGCAAGGATCACGCTTCTTCTTTGTAAATATGAGAGAACAGCTAAAGAAAATTAAAGCATATAAAAACCATGCTATCTGCATTTTATTCAGTTCACTTATTTCCAATATAAATGTTAGCAAGTAGGGATTTTATTTTAATAGGCAAGAGGGTAGAAAAAATGGAGGGAAATCAAACTTCAGTTTACCAACATTACCCATGTCACAAAATGAAAATTTAACACGTAAAATATGAGAGATTATTTACAATCTTTATAATCTGAATTATACATGAGTGCAAAGCTCCACAACTGTGATCTACACTGTTATTTAAGAAAATTGTTCATAAATTAACTAAAAAATGGATGACTTTAGTATTAGAAATTAAGTACTCCAAACGCAAGCTTACGACAATACTGCTTAATGAAAATATGTCTATCTAGTCAAAGAGGATTGTTGGCATAGAGAACTGTACTGTGTATGGTGGATTAAGTTACAAAAAATAGTTTCCCAGAGAAACTGCATACCTATAACCAACTGTATGTAACATACGTGCTGTGTGTAGTTTGCATTATTCCTATACTATTTATTTTCTCTACAAACAAAGATAACGAGACTACTTCAAAAAAGTAAAAATATTCCATGATGTGGCTTTATGTGACTGGTTACAGATGGCTGAAAGTTTGCAAGTGCACAGGAAACAACACTGCTTCCAATGGTGATAATTGAATTCAACACTAAAGAAGTCAGGTGAGTAGACAGCAATACTGCACACAAAATTACTACTGACAAATATAAAGTAATAAACAGTGGAAAGATGTGAACTTCTAATACACATTATTGCAAAAAGGAAAGAGAGACAACCTCCTTTTGGACAGCCCAATCAAAACCTCATCTCAATACCTGGCAGGAGTCAAAAAGAAGTGTTACTAGGTTTTATTTAAAAAAAAGGGGGGGGGGAGGGGATTGGAAAAGTGTTATACGGTTATTTTATAGCAATCAGTAGTATTCCATACCTGGAATCGTACTTTCAGTGCTGGATATCCTGGCTCAAAAAATGATATAGCATAGAGGGGATTTCGAGAAAAACAAACAAACTTGCCTCTCTAAAAGAATTTATGTCCCTGCTCTCTGCTCCCATTTATACAACAAACATTTGTCTTAACCCCTAATCCTACAGCATCACAAAGGGAACTCATTATACCAGAAAACCTTTTCAGTCACTGCTGTGTAGGTTATACTCCCCTGTTTTTAACTGTAGCATTCCTTGTTCCTGGATATAACTATGCACTCAGCTGTACTGAAGAGCATTATGTTCAAACACTCTAGATTACTCTGTATGAGTACAATGTCCCCCTTAATATCATTCTGCCAATCTTTAATTTTTGTTTTTAAGCAGTGATTATTTACGTCTACAACAATTATGAAAATGTTAAATGCTGTGGCCTATTACCAAGCCTTACAGAACCCCAATTAGAGTGGGAGTGTCTCTATTACGATTCTCAAACAGTTATTTGGATTTTTGAATACATGTAATTTGCATTTTGATAACAGATGCTGCTATTTTTACATAAGATTACTATGCAGTACTAAGAATATAAGAACCACAATTATTTTTGTCAAACAAACATGTAATATTAAACAATGAGTTGAATCTGATAAGATCTATTTTCCCTAAAGCCACGCTGAGTGGCATTAGTTAACAAAGATTAAAGACTAGCTGTTTAATTTTATCCTGTATCAGCATTTATCCTTTTATTCACCACTGGTGTCAGATTATGATGCCATATAATGACCTGGGTTATCCCACTTGCCCATTTTAAATAAATACTACTTTAAGTTATCTGTCATTTCCCCACTATTCCAAGCTTAAGTGACATCTGTAGGCCAGAGATGTCCTCGGCCAACTCTTTTAGTATCTCAGGAGGTGTCCAGATGAGCACACGTGTGGTTTGTGGTGCCTCAAACCTGTTTGAAGCACAGTATACCACATGCGATGCATGTGCAACTCTTTGCCATGCTGCAAATTTGATACTGGGAACTCTCAGTATTAAAACAAACAAAAAAAACGCTGTCAAAAAAAGCTGCACAACTGGAAGCTGGGTCCTCCAGGGATATGCTCTGGCTACCAGCTAGAGTGTCTCAACTGCTTTAGGTGTCCCCTGGCTCCTCTTCAGCATGCCATGAGCTGGGAGGAGTGGGGAAACAGCCATTTCCCTGAAGCGGGGCATTCTGCCCCACACCAAACCCCATGAGCAGGGGCGTGCACAGCCACTAAAAGCAGTGGCACAAATATGTGCTATTTTTGCTGCAGCAAACGCACACAGGAGTATGTGCCCCCTGGGTGCAAGTTATTCGGACCTTTATAAATGATTATTCTAAGAGATGTTATCTAACCCAGCATTTCATGTCATATTAGCAGCACTGTCACTTGCATGTGAAAGGAAAGGATTCTTCCATTTGGGACTGGCGAGGCCTCACCTGGTGTACAGGGTCCAGTTTTAGGCAAAAATGATTTGTGGCCTGGGAAGCAAGACTTATGAGACTGGAAGAACTGGGGACATTTAGTCTGGAGAAGAGAAGATTGAGGGGGATTTGATATTTGATAACAGCCTTCAAATACCTGAAGGATGATTAAAGAGAAGATGGAAAAACTATTATCTGTGGCTGTAGGGAACAGGACTAGGAACAATGGCCCTGAGCTGCAGTGAAGGAAATTTAGGTTGGAAAAAAGGAGGAACTTTCTGACTATTAGGGTGGGTCAAGCATCAAAACAGGTACTGAGAGAAGTTGTGAAATCTCCATCCCTGGAAATTCTCAAATGTTGGACAGAGACTTGGCTGGGATGATTTAGTCAGGGAAGATCCTGTCTTGAACAGGGAGGCTGGACTAGATTACCTCATGAAGTCCCTTCCAGCCTTATTTTCCCATGCACAACCTCCTCAGTTACTAACTGGAAAGTATTTTTTCACACTCCTGAAATACTTATATATTTTCATAAATGTATACCATCCTGCTTTTTGTAAAATGCAGAGCAAAAATATTTACCAAAAACTTCTCTTCTGCACCATTAACAATTTACTGCCTACATGAAGCATTGCGTCTATACTATTGCTAGATTTTCCTATTTTGTTCCTAAAATATTTAGCTTCTCTCTGTCATTTTGGTGTACCAGCCAGAGACCATCTGTCCAATCTTGCTCCCCCACCACATCTATCTTCCCATATCCATTTTCTGTATTGCTATTTCTTCTTTTGCATTTGTTGTGTTGGGATTTAAGTTTCTAATTTCTGCTTTTGATTCGCCACTGAAGTAAGGTGGGTTTTGAGCTCCTTGGTAGTGGAACTGGGGGCTTTTAGTCATTTAATAAACTCTTTCTAAAGAACTCCCAATTTTCACACAATTGATTCCTTCCAATTCATTTCAATCAATTTCCCTCAACTTTGGGAAACGAGGATTTTTCCAACACAAAAAGCAAAAATAACCCATTAAATTGAGCTGCAGAATTCACTGCTATAAGATAGGGGCTTAAGACAAAAAAGATCAAACCTTTCTAGAAATATGAAAGTCTCTATCCCCAGTTAGAGAAGATGGTATATCCACACCACCACACATCAGAACATAAACTGACACGGGATGGGAAGTCCTGCCCAAAATTGGGATTCTTGTACCTTTGACAACTGCGAAATGGGTACGTCTACATAAGACACTTTACTGAGCAGCAGACCAATCTGCTGTGCAATAAAGCATCACCATCTATGGGTGCATGGCGATTAGGGCATAGCAGACTAATTTACTGCGGTACCCGACAGCCCAGTCAGATACAAGTGGTATCCAGCAGCACAGTAAAGTAGTGTGCTTACATGCACACGTAGACAGTGATTTTGGGATTAGTTTACTCCGGCTCAAACTGAGCCACAGTAAATACAGTTATATCAATTACCTGCGTAGAAGCACCCAGTGGCTACACAATTGGTCTGAATTACTGTGGCAGTTCCTACGTTTAAAGGAAGTTGACAAACATTTATTTGGGTATGCATCTACAAAAGCACCTGGATCAGTGCAGACATCTGGATCAGTCAGGCTCCATACCCTGGCAGAAAGGTTTCTACCAGCTGCAACCCACCTACACTACTGCCACCAGTGAACAAGCAAGGGAGGGAAGTGGGGTGGAAAGACCCTGTGCCAACCACTTCAGTGCAAGTGCAGGCAGGGATTACCTAGCAGACCTTTTTAGTGGATTTTGAGTTCCTCCTATTGCACAGCAGAAGCAGGGGCTTCCTGCAGCAGGCTCCAAAGCTGTGGGGAGCAGCACGTCTCTTATAGAAAAGTTTCACTTTTTTTTTTTT